AGATGATCTTAAGGTCCTTTCAAACCCTAACATTCTATGATTCTATGATCTTGATGGCCAAAGCAAGCTTAGGCATGGAATAGCATGTAACCATTTACTGTTTTTCTTACATAATGCAAATAATTTCTAATAGAAAGGCAGACTTCACAGAAGACTACTTACTCAGCTCTCTAGGTCCTGCAATGCCTTAAAAGTGCAAGGCAGAATGGCCACAAGATGGAGATCTGGGAAAGGGCATGCTGACTCTACCAACAAGTTCTGCAGGTGGTGAAAGCTTAGGTAAAAGCAGATAGGTCACTCTTCAGAGATGAGACCTTGTAACACAAAATCTATGCCCGGAACACATTGAAGAGGCCAGCGCCAGTGATGAAAATTACCTCTGCACAAACATGCTTTGAAGTAAATACAAGTCCAATTCCCTGGATGCAAATCCTACAAATTGGAGATAATTTACCATCATGTGGTAGCACAAACCAGGACTGTATCCAGTTGTAATTCTGGTGACATCAGAAAGACTTTATTTCAGAATTTAACAGTTGGATTTAATTTCCAGGTCTAGCAGATGCAGTTCAGATAGTAACTACGTTTAATTATTTAGCTCTCCATAGAGGAAATGTTAAAACCAGCTCCTTTTCAAACTGGTTCCAGAGTAAGATTGGGGATTTTTTTTGTCACAAGCCTTACGAATTCTGACAAGATCCCTTTGGCCACTGGAGACCAGAACCCAGAAACACAAGGCTTCACATACTCAGGACATTGCATACCATGCCAGAGCTTCAGACATATGAGATGCCTTTCAAACGTATTCTGTCCCTGCCATAGGGTGGTGGGGAGAAAGCAGCAAAACTGCTTGGATGCACCAACGTTTTTCTTTTGGCAAGAGGTGAGTGGACAGTTGTCACTGAAGCCAAGTCAGCAGATACAGCTCTGGCAGCTCCAGTTTCTACTTTCAACTCCTCAGGGCCCCTTTATACCTTGATCTAGTTTGGTTAAGCAACAAAAACTCATAAAGCAACAAAGAATCATAAAGCAGGTTTACAGGCGACTCTAACATTCTAGCACTGAACTGCAGAAGTAGGAGCTCAACCTAATAGAAATCCTGTTTCAATAAGTGGCCCCAAACGTACTACATTAAAGGCCCTACACCTCATAGCAATGCTCCATCTTACAACTGAGAATCCCAAGCAAAAATTTGCATCAGACTTATCTTTCAACATACTTAGCGAGATGTAAGTAAAGCTAATAGCAAGACTTGATATAAAGAATAAGGTGAGGTCCCAAGCTACTGGTCCCTAAAACCCTCTGGCTTAATTCATCTCAAACTACATGCAGTCCATGCCTTCTACTTTCATATCTATCCTTTAGTTAATGCTCTGAAGTGAAAAATTGTTTCTAATGTGACAAAGTGTCAAACAGAACAAATATAGGGGAAAAACTAACACTGAGCAACAGAAAACTTGCTGCTTCTGGTCCAGCCTCTTGGATAGGTTTGTATACCTGAATGCCCATACACACCCTCCAGCATCACATACTAAACAACTGCGCAAGATAATTCCCATTCCTGACAAACTGCTTAACAAAAGAAAACAAGGTTAGTTTCCAGTTGCAAATTACAGTCAAAAGATTACATTGTACATTGTGGGGTTTGCAGCACTACTGCTGGATTCAAGACAAGATAATTAGGATGTTACAATTAAATAGCATGTAATTAGAGGGATAAGAGATTTGCAGGAAACATTAGTTTTGCCTTAAATGGCACTTTCCTTTATTTCCAGCTTTTGTTTGACAAAAAGCCCCTCTAGTCTGCCCTAGAATTCACCTAACAAAAAAACTTTTGTGGGTACTACATTTAAGCAGTACAACAGCTTTGAGCCTTTGGGGACCACTGTAGCAGAGTTATTTATGGATATTTCAGTGTTCATTTGCAACTGTGTTGAAATATTTAAGCAACAAGAGCCATAAACAGGAAGGAATAGGTTTACAAAAATTGCATTACTTAGTGATGCTCTGCAAAACTGTCAGGACATTTTTAGAAAGAAGATTAGCTTAAGTATTCACAAATTGCAATATAAATCAAACTAACTAACAGAAGTTGCCAAAATACACTTCCATCTCATACAGCCTGCCTTTACTGCACTTATTCAAGGTCAGGGGAGTTGTAATGAGTTGGTTGGCAAAGGTTCAACTAACTTATCTGAGAAGGTGACTTTCAGCTTTTTTCTAAAAAGAAAAAAAGCTTTCAGTGAAAAAGCCTCTTGCCTTTTTGATCACAAATTCGCCATAAAAATGGCAAATGCATGCCAATTTAGTAATATCTGCTTGAGTTGCTAGTGAAAAGCATGCAACCTATCTTCAAAGACAAAATGCTCCATCAATAACAAAGTTGTAGGTGGCAGTATGAGAAGGAAAGGATTAGAAGTTTATCTGGGATCTAAAGTACAAGGAGATGAAGGAGAACATCAGATTAGAATTCTGTGTCAGAAAGGAAAAAGCTAACTTCTTAATGAAAGTTTCTTATCCTCCAAAGACACATCTACTTACCTTAGAAAAATATTACTTTGTTACTTAACCACTGGTACCCACACTTACAAGCTTACCTTATCTAGCAACACATTCTGCCATAAGCGGAAGATACTGAGGTAGCTTCTGTCTCTTGCACTGAACGATGTGAAGAAAAACTGCAGGAAAAACAAGGTGCTAAAAGCTCACTTGTAGGTATTTTCAAGAAACTCAGAATACTTTCTTGTATCTTGATTATCCTAAGGTTTTCAGCAACAGCATGCTCCTCTCACTTTCAAGAAACCTCACGCTCCACACTTTTTACCCCTTTTAGTAAGTAAAAGTTAAGTTCCCAATAGTACATAAAGACACTTGCTCTTCTTTTGCAAACATTTGTATCTTTGGCATAAGGAAGGGCTCTTCCCTCAACTAACTACACAGTTACATCTTTCTCCCACTTTTAAATAGGATGTGGAACGAATCAGAGTTGAATATACCTATTTCTTGCAGGCCACAGACCTTTCCATTTTTCTACAACATACTACTTTTATTAATCTTTTCACATAAGGAGATGTGAAATCAAAATAATTCAAATAGGAGATCAAATGAGATTCATCATTTGCAGTATTAAAATCTTTCCCATTTGAATGTTCGCTTAGCAGAGAAAGAGGTTTATCTTCCTCAATGATTAAAGTTAATAAATTGAGAGGGAGCAGCCAA